CCCCCCCCCCCCCCCCCATGCCGCGGCCCCACATTGCTTGCCTTCCCCTGTTGGGTCCTCTCGTCAGCCAAACGACCGTCAGGGGCATCGGAGTCCTTCCCGGAGCTTGCGATTTTCTGGGGAATGCTTTTCCCCGCCGTTGGGCCTGAAGAGCCCCTACCTTAATGAGTCCCGCACGAATCAATTTAGCCCCCATCAGCTTTCCCCTTCTCCACAAGTTAGCCCTGTTCTCTCCTATATGTGCAGCTCTGATCCTACCGGCCTCACATGCCTGATTTCTGGGCTTGTTTAACGGCGGCTGCTCCGTGGGCAGGTGGACTCAGTTGCCTAATTGACCTAGAAGCGTTTTGCAAGTCTGGATAATTGATTGCATATGCGTTTTCTTTAAAAAAAAAAAAAGACAGAAAAAAAACCTCGTTTAACCTGGCTGGGATTTACCTACTTCGAGTTTTCCCTATCAACAGCAATGGGATGCCTCTGAAAGTTCAAAGGGAGGGTCTTCCTGATAAAAACATCTTAGAACAGGGACCTTAGATTGCTCTGACTTAGCAATAGAAGTGTCATGAATTGTGTTTTAAATGGGCTAAAAGCAGAGACGAGCATTTCTGTTTCACTATTGCTGACAGACATCGATTCAACTGTCTTTTCAAGAGCTGGGCTATTTTAGATTTGGGTCCTTAGAATTGGAGTTGTTTGCAAAGTATAGATAATTTCTGGACTTTATTACAACAGAAAATATTACAAAAGAGAATAAGTTAAAAATAATTTTATGAATTTTCTCACTCTTTCCTAGATATATTTGAACAACTTGTCTACTGCTCCAATTCTAGTTTCAGTACGATGCTGCCCTATTGTACAGACTAAATTTTAGAATTAGTGAAAAATACAAGTATTTTTATACATTCAGAGTATATATAAGTATAGTGTTTTCCAATGTATCATGAAAACTATTTTGGATATTGTCGTGTAGTACTTGTGCTATTCTGATTCTGGAACCCAATTGAGCCTGGTCTTGGAAGTTCAAGTTTAGTTACTGAGATTGAAAAATAGTAAATTTCAACAGAACTAGTGTTTCATGTGGCATGAATTAATTAACTGTTGGTGAATTATAAAAATACAGACACCTCAGTCAGCCTTGACAAAAATAGGACAATTGATATTACTCTTCATTTAAGAGTAAAATTAAGTTTTTCTTAATTTAAATGTTTTTACATCAAATTATAAACTGTCTTGTGAATCACTTCATACACTGATTGGATAAAAATACCTTACATATGATTTAAGATCATTACCTATTGGACAGAATTTATTGTTGGACTTATTGTCCCAAAGGTACTTTTCAAAAGGCAACTGGACTTTCTTGGGGGTTTATTCCCTGAGTTCCTGAGGTAAAATGAAAAAGTTTGTTGGATGAGAAGCAAAACATTTTCAAGGGGAAAAAATCCAGGAAAGTCCTGTTTCCTTTTGGAAAGCATTTTTGTGACAATCATGACCTGGGTAATAATCCTTAGATATGTTGGAATTATTATAATCATGCAACATGACTATCATAAAGGAATAAAGAGAGCAACAAATTGGAGCCTCCTTTAACAGATTCTCAGTAGAATTGATCTTTCTCAATATAATGGATTATAAAGGATGCCATGTCTTTGTAAAAATAAGACTTTGGAGAAAAGTTCTAGCTTGCTTTTTAGGTAAATAGCATTGGGCTTCTAATCACATTTTACCTCTAGGGAGCATTCAGATGTCAGAGTGTTTGGTAATTGAAATATTTTTCAGAACTTTGGGCAATGAAGTTTTTTTTAAGTCTGTTTTCTTAATCAGTAGTGTTTTTTCCCTAGTAGATAAGCCTGGAATTATTATAGTGTATACTCCCTCTACTGTTTCTGTATTATTTTAAGCTAAGGTTCTTAAGTGTTTGTGTCCACTGATGAGAATGTGAAGAAATGTCGTTCAAGGAGGCTTCACAAGATATCTGTTTCTTTTTTAGCCTGCATATCAGAATTTAAGGCAGCGGGTGGACAATTTTGTCTCCAACCATCTCGCAACTCATACATGGAGTCCTCATTTGAACAAGAACCAATTAAGAAATAATATCAGGCAGCAGGTTCTTAAGTAAGTTTTACAAACTGTTCTTCTCTATGGCTCTGATCAACTGATTTGATTGGAAATATGCAGGATAAAATGTTATTTGATACATATGTAAATATTTGGAAGATCTTAGACACTGGTTAGGGTTCAAAAATTGCTACATTTCTTATTTTGAAATTCAGTGTGAATGTATGAGGCTGCTATTCAAAATAGCCAAAAATGTTTGGTAAGGAATGATAAGAGTAAAAATTCACCATAGCAAATATATTTCAAGTAGCAATTCATGCATTGTACTTAATGAGAATATGGGAAATTCTGTTCTTACTGAAGCATCTTGTGTTTTATATATGAATGTCAACTTTAAAAGATCATGTCTAGATGTTAACATGCTTAAAAGAAATTAATATTGCCCTTCATGTTTTTAATGATGTGGAGGTTTTTTTCTCCTAAATGGTTTTTTTCCCATTTTAACTTGCATTCAACCAATTTGCAAGATTGTAGTATAGCTGCAGTCCCCAATCTTTACAGCTCCATGGACTTGCAGCAGTGGAAGGGGGGTGGAGAGGATGGTTTTGTGCACATGCCCACCACTTGCACAAATGGAGCTTTGCATGCTCGCCCACTGCTTGCATGGCCCAGTTCTCAACAGACTGCAACCCTGTTCTGGGCCATGAACCAAGGGTTGCAGCCCCCTACGGTATAATACTGCTGGTGAATGAAAACATAACTTACTTATAGATTTTGATGATTGAACATTCATTTGTATCAACCTACCAGTATATCATTAAATTGATTTTTCTGAAGTAACTGAGGTTATTATAGTATGATTTTTATGATCTTAATTAATTTGTGTTTTTACTTGAATAGTTGTAATATATGGTCAGTGATCTCTAATCCACTGCCCAGAGCCTCTCTCTTAAGGGAAATGGGCAGTTTAGAAATAGGAAATATACATAAATTAAATTAAAAAATCTCATTTTCTGGGATGATATAAGGACTCTTCCTTGAGCAGGGGATTGGACTTTGAAGATTTCCAAGCTCCCTTCCGCCACCGTGATTTCAATGATGCTGAAACAGTACTTTAAGGATACATTAAATGAGACAATGAAAATTTTAGAAAAGCAACAGTAATGCCTTAGGTGGACCCGAAGAACCATGACAATTAATTATTGAGTCTTAATTTTTTATTATTTCTGAATACAATTTGCATAAATATTTGTTAGAATTATTCAACTATCAGTAATGTGTGATAAAAATAGATAGCCTTGTCAGCTGCTACAAAAAGAAAATCATTTTATTTGTGGTGTCTCATTCATGGTGATTTAAGGAAATGCAAGTTATAATAAACATATTTTTTAGAAAAACTTCATGTGAAAGAAAATATGCAGAAAATGAAGAAAATATTATACTTTCTTCATAAAGAAAAAAGAAACATGCAAAAATGCAGTGAGAGGAGTCAGTTCTCTTCAAAGAAAGCAAATCTGTATTAATTTTAAGTTTTGCATTTTGAACTACATTATATTGAGGGGTTTTTATATCTTCTTTTGACAGGTTTTTATACCTCCCGGGCCCTGTTTTAGCTGGCAGAGGGTAGCAAAACAAACTAAAAACAAAACAAAAGGAGAAATGTTTCCCCTTTTGTGTTTGAGATGCAAGAAGGGACAGGAAAGGGAAAGAGGAAAGACAAAGAAAAAGATGGGAAAAGAGCAAGGAAGGAAAAATAAGGAAAGAGAGGAAGGCAGAAGAAAGGAGAATGAAGAGGAAAGGAAAAAGAAGGGAAGGAAGGAAGGAAGGAGAATATAATGAGAGTGAGGGAGGGTCTGAGGGAAGTCCTGCCTTAGCCACATATGCCCCCGACACGAGAGATGGTGAGCTGGCCAGCCCCCCCCCCCCCCGCCCAACCCCACCCCTGATGTGGCCCTCAGTGGAGTTTGAAACCCCTGATCTATGTGAATGAATTGAACCCCTTCTTTGCCCAATATTTTGCATTGTTTTTCCTAGGATATCTGGGAGTTCTCTTGAATTCTTCATTATATTATCTCGTGATATATGCAAATAATGGTTCTTATCCACCTTGTAATCTTGTTAAGATTAGCAAGAATATCCGTAGAAGAGACTTGCTATAAAATAGCATTAGTATATCCCTCCTCTTGCATAAATTATTATATTGATTGTGTTAACATAATTGTGTTAACGTAATTGTGTTAGCTGTGATAGATAAGTTATATTGTCATTTCATTTCAGATCTGGAATGTTAGAATCTGGTATTGACAGAATCATTTCTCAAGTTGTGGATCCAAAGATCAACCACATATTCAGACCACAGGTAGAAAAAGCTGTCCATGAATTTTTGGCTACAATGAATCACCAAGAAGAGACCAATCCCAGCTTTGCCCTGCCTGAAGAAAAATTAGAACCTTCTATTTTGCTGCAAGGTATTTCTTCTTTCTTCCCTTGGCAAAATAAATATGCTTTTAATTTTTGGGTTTTAAAGAGGTGAGTGTAAGGAATCAAAGAATTGAAGTAATGCCTAATCAGAGGCATACTTTCAAATAATGTCATTGAACCAATTTCCAAATTAACGTGCTAAAGGGAAAAAACTTCTTATCAACAGAGGCTTTGATATTATGATATCTCTTTGGAGGCATCCCAACAAGCTGGGTTTATTTTCTAGAGATAACCTTCCTTGGAAAACTGGTTTATGGAAAGCTATTCCTGCTGCTGCCATTGTCTCAATTTTCAGAGTCAAACTACACATTTAGGAATGTGTATTGTTCCTAGAATCCTCTCTTTTTCATCAGATTGCTGTATCACAAGCATTTCTCTTTTTTTGACTAAATTCCAGTGCATCCATCCCAAAATTTCCTCAGTAACTTATTCTTGAATTCATGGGGATTAGGATATAGAAGATTCAAATAAAGCTGTATATCAGTCATTGGCTGTTGATATTGCAGTTGAAGCTAATGAGGACTATATTTAGGCTATCAAAGTTACTGAGGGTCACTGTTGCATCATTCAAGTGATACATTAATCACTCATTTCTGAATGACCTTTTCTTCAGCCTATTCATACTCATTCCCCAAAAGATATTAAGGTTTGCACCTGATGTTGCTTCCCCTCTAACCAACCTTCTCTCCAAGACAGCCGTCATGGTTTCTGATGTAGTGTTGGAGAATTCAAAAATGATGTTCCTTAGCAACTTCTACTTTTCAGGGCTAACTCTTAACTTCAGGGTCTCTATGACAGTCATAAGACTTGAATATGTTGCAGAGCTAACACATTAAGAAGGCATATTCTTGTTTTGAAAGTGATAATAGTCTTTGCTCTCTAATAAAATTTGGAGGTGAGATCTCACCTGCGTCTAAGATATTGTTAGGAGGATCTGCCTCAAGAGTTGTAGATTCTTGAATGCTGTAGGAATTTTCCAAGTCATAAGACTTGTGATTTTGTTGAAGCTCTAGACTAGCTATGGGGATGAGATGAGCACTGATAAATTCCTTGGATCTCAAGAGAAACAGTTTAAAGGTTAGATCGTTAGTGTGATAGAAGTGACAGAAATCTTGGTACAAAGTTGATCAAGTGTAGGTTAGAGCATATTATCTCATATTAATGAGGGGTTTAGGACATTTAAGTGCCGACCCTTGGCACAGTTGTACTTTCTTCCTCCAGTGACCTTCTGCCAGCAATTGTCCATCGCCGGTGGCCCCCTGGCACCAGGGGAATGGTCCCCTTCATCCCAGCCCGTTCCCTGAGGCATGATTTTACCTGGGTGTTTTGCTGCACCAGACAAGTAGCTGCCAGCTAATTGGGGGTAGGCAGCAAGGATGGTACTGAGGGGTAGTGCCCAATTGGCAGTGGGTGGGGTGAGTGAGGGGACTGTGGGGGCAAATGAGAGGCCAGGTTTTTTTTTCTTACTTGAGCCAGAGGAAGCTGTTGGCTGCCAGGAATTTAATCCTCTTGATTAGCCCGGAGCAACTGCAGGAATTGGGAAGTAGTGCCAGTGTCAGCTGATGCTCCATTCAAAATCCAAGAAAGAAATACTTAGACTCCTTTAATCAGAGAAAAGATATCTTTTACTGGAGATCAAGTGGTAGCAACACGAGAATTCTGAATCTGAGAAAATGGGCGCGTAAATCACATATACAAAGTGATGGAAATGTTCCCACCCCCAATAGTTCAAATGGTTCTTCCAATTAAAAGTTTTGAATATCATCATGTGGACATCTCCAGGTGGTGATGAGGCTTCTGTCCGTTGACCTTGGCATCGTTTGATAAAGGTTTGCAGCTGCACATAGCATAGAAGAGAAAGCTAAGCAAGGAATAGAAACCTAAGCAAGAATGTACTCCCCCCCTCCCCCCCAGTTTATACAGTTCTGGTTTGTAAACACCTCCAGCTCACTTCCCATAGTTTCCCCCCCTCCCCCCCTGTTACTTATGACAACCGAAAGATGCAAAGCAAAGGGAGAAAATCTTGAAGGCTGACAGCCAGCTTACAGGTTTCACAAAACCATAAAAAGGAGAGAAGGTGAAGCCCGACAGCCCCGAGTTTGTCGCAAGTGTGGAATTCCAGATTAAAGCCAGGCAGCCGGCTTGAAGGCCCCTTGTTCCCCCCCCCCCAGCACCCCTCCTGCCCATCGCCAAGCGCACGCTGCCCCTCCACAGTCCCTGCAGTTACCCTGCCTGCCACCAATTGCACATCACCTCTCTACAGCCCCTGTGATCGCCCCATCCACTCCCAGTCATGCACCACCCCATAAGCCCCCGCAATCACCCCACCCGCTGCCAATCACACGACACCCCCCACAACTCCCACAATTGCCCCGCCTGCTGCCAATCGCATGCTGCCCCCCATAGCCCCACAATTGCCCTGCCTACTACCAAGCACATGATGCCCCCACAGCCCTCGTGATTGCCCCACTCGTCGCCAATCGCTCTCCAGCACCATTACTGCCACCCGCCACCCGATTGGATGTCAGCTACTTGTTTAGAGCAGCAAAACGCACAGGTAAAATCGTGCCTTGGGGAATGGGCTGGGACCCTGGGACTGGAGGGCCAGAAGGTCATTGACAGTGGACAATTGATGGCAGACAGCAGCAGAGGAAGAAAGCTGGTGCTGCCAAGGGTCAGCACCTAAATGTCCCATTCCAATAATGAGAGTAATAAAAAAGTTTTCTTCACAGCATATTGCCATCACTGCATCCTAGCAGAGTTATTCCACATGGCTTACTGTCACAAATGGAATGTTAGTATCTAAGGATGTACCAAAGTGCACAGTTTGGCTCACACTGAGTATTCTGAACCAAGAGATTCTTTTTTGTTTGGCTTCTTCAGTACATATGCAATATCTCATACTAATAGTTGTACTTAACCTTATTCTTATTTGAAGGTGTTCCTGCTGTCACTCCGATTGTAAATATGGCTAATGATGCTCTGTCTATTTTGGAGACCATAACATCTCTCAACCAAGAAGCCAGTGCCACCAGAGCTTCTACAGAAGCAACCAAGACAAATGATAGATTCTCAAAGAAACTCCTGCACAGTTTGGATGGCAGCATAGAGAGAGATCGGAATGCAGAAGATGTTGCTGATGGAGAAAATTCTACAGAAGAAAGTTTTGAACCAGTAGTAAACTGTGAAGATACAAGTAATTCATTTTCTTCAAATGAAGAAGGAAAAGCTGTATCAAAAGAAGCTAGTAGCCTGCTTAATCCAAGCAAGGAAATTTTTCAGGAAAGTGATGAACAAAGAAGTAAAGTGGATAAATATGATAGAAAACTGGAAAGCTTGGAAAAAGGAGAAAAGAAGAAAGAAAAATCTGACAAAAAAGTAGACTTCTTGAAGAGAAATGGTGATGATGTAAAAGCAAAAGAAGAAAAGACAATCAAAGACAAAGAGACAGAAGTGGTAAAACATTTAACCCTGGAAAAGAACATTAGTAAAAACAAAAATGAAAGCACGAAAGAAGGTATAATATCACAGGTGTTTATTCATTATGAACAGGTTAAAACAAATGGAAATATTTTTAATTTATTTGGAAAGTTTTGATATAGGTGAAAAGACACTGGCATTACAGTTTATTGGTTGACTTTAGATATATTTTTATCTGCAGCATGGTAATTTTCTAAACATTTTAGCTTACTGGACTTGGAGAATATTTCAGAAGGTAACTTGTTTTATAGACATAAGAGATAACATGTTGGCAAGATAATACTAAATATTGTGATGAATGTTTTTATTTAAAACTATACCTGTTCATTGTTTGTAGTTAGTATCTGCATTATTTCTTGGTTTTTAATTGCCCTTTTTTCAGATTGTTACACCAGGACGGTTTGTTTTTACACTTCTCTACTACCCTGTGCACTACTTATCAAAGGAGACATTACTGCATTTATGTTTTCAGCCAATTTTTCATCAGACTTTTTTTACAATGTCTCATTTTTATGTTGCATTTTGAGATTGTTATCCTTTGCTTTCTCATTCAGGATCCTTTATATCTCATTTTATGGTGTTTTGCATTTTAATTTCTTTATATGCCATAAATATTTTCTATAGGATGGTTTTTATACTTGCATGTTTTGACAGTTTCATCAGTTAACAATCTTTCTGAAATACATTAATTCTCACAGAAGATATGCTTAAACTCTTTCATATGTTTTATTCAGTTTTAATTACTGTTAGGTTACTGTTACTGTCAGGTTCTCTTTCTTTATAGTCTTTTATGTCGTCTAAAGCAATCAATATCTTTTCTATCTTTTTTGCCAAATTTTTGTCCTCTTTTATAGGTATCACGTTAAAACTTTCTTGCATTATTTTGATTTCTTGTTTTATGTGTTTTATTAAGCTAGTTGTCTCTTCCTACGGCCCTTTTCAGCTTGGTGCCCTCCTAGTTGATGGCATGTCAGACACAGCCATTCCAAGCTGGTTTAACTAATGGCTGTGCTGAGGATTGTGGGAAATGGGAATCCCAGTGTGCCTGGAGGCTACCGAACTAGAGAATGGAAGCCTGAGGGTTGGCATTTCACTGAGGAGGAAGACTTTCATGACCATTCTTAGGACAAAATATTTTCATATCTGTCTTACCTTACAATGATGCTCAGTTTCTGCACTAAGACCTTTTTATATGCATGCATACTTTTTGCAAACTAATAGAGAGAGAAACTTTTAAAGGTCATTTTCTTCAATAGCACTACGGAAGGTTGATAGTACCAGGCATGCATGGAGCTGTTTCCACTTGTGGGATGTTTTGGATTCTGGATAAGATTTTAAGTTATCTCTGTCTGTTTTTCTCAACTAGTGTTGGAAGATTCTGATCTGGACATACTGAGTGATATTACTGTTAGTTCTGTGCACACCAGTGACCTTTCTTCCTTTGAAGAAGATAGTGAAGATGTGCTTTCTGATAGCACAGAAGAAGGAGAAATAGTTTCTGATGGTAAAGTAATCTTGACCTTCGGCTAGTGAGAAGAATTAAAGAATGAACTTGTTTTTCCTTAAATGCAACTCCCTTATTTTCTTATGATATTATAATTGGAGTGATTGAATATTACGTACATTCAATGCAGTGTATCACAAAAACCCAAATAAATACATTCATAAGGCTGTCCCTAAAGTGGATTTAAATGAGCTTGGATGTGATTTTAAATGCTTGCATGGGCAGAGAATCCAAGCAAAGATTGGTGAGAAAACTCTTCTTGGCAAGACAAGATATAAACATCCCTCTTGCCTTAACAAGTAGCCTGGATTTGTCTATTCTGATATATTTAGATACCACATAAAATAATGTTACTTCTAAATATATTTGTTCTTTAATATTATGTTATATTATATTTAATATAAGTACAAACCATAAGTGAACTCTCATTTAGCAAGTTCATTTTATGTTCAATAGGATGAGAGCTACTTTGGTCTAATGGGCTAGAAATCAGGAGGATGTGAGTTCTAGTCATGCCATAGGTTGGAAAGCCAGTTGAGTTGACTTTGGGCCAGTCATTTTCTCTCAGCCCACAGTATCAATTCCTATGGCAATCAATGAATCAACTTTCAGTTCATCTTAAAGCAGAACCTGCACTTGCAGGAAAAAAAAATGCTAGGAAGAAAAAAAGTATTTAACAGATATCAGGCAAACTATAGCATAGTGTCTGTCCTTTGTTCATAAGAACAAAGTTAGTTGTTAATTTATATGGAAAAGTCATTTGAAAGATTTCGGTATTTTGTTGTTTTTAGGGTTGAATGTATGCTTTAGTTTCATCTTGATTGATTTGTATTTTATTTTCTATGATAAAACAATATTAAAAAGATTTCAGTATTCTACATTCAGAAAGCTGCATTCAAATGCTTAGCTGGTTGCTTGCCTTGATCTTCACCATCTATGCTAAAAGGATAATTCTGTGCTTTTACTGGCTGGAATATCTGGAATCATTTCATAGTTTTCCTAAGATAATTGTAGCTGAGGCTGTCAGATAATAGATAATATGCAATATAGCAATAGCATTTAGACTGCTTCACTTTACAGCCCTCTCTAAGCAGTTTGCAGAGTCAACATTTCCCCCAACAATCTGGGCCCTCAATTTACCAATCTCAGAAAGATGGAAGGCTGAGTCAACCTTGAACCTGGTGAGATTCGAACTGCCAAATTGCAGGCAACCGGCAGTCAGCAGAAGTAGCCTGCATTACTGTATTCTAACCACTGCGCCACCATGGCTTATATAGCAATATAGCAATATTACAATTTGAGAATCTTATGGTAAAAATGAAAGCTACATTTACTCTGATCTGTAGTTCTGGATTTACCATAATATATGGGATAATAAAATACTGTGGGGCTTTAACATTATTTCTAACAATATATATTAATAAATTGTTATTTTGAACAGATGGAGGATAGGCTAAGGCTAGGATCCTGAAATGCAAAAATAATTTTTGCTTTCAGATAGGGTGATGAATTTTCATTTCCAGCTATAGTCCCTTCTCTACAGCATCAGCTTTGAGAAAGGGTTTGGTTGAGAAGGGTGTTTCATCTACCTTGGGGCTAATATCTGGTTCTTTGGATCTCAGCCTATATCTACATTATAAAATGAGCATTTCCTCAGCTTTTGTTCTCAACTTTTATCTAGACGAGGATGATGAAAGCAGCCAGATTAAAGCGAAATCAGAAGCAGAAGGTACAAATGGTCAAAGAACAAAATCTGGACGACATGCTTACATCCACAAGCCTTACCTTTACTCCAAGTATTACAGTGATTCAGATGATGAAAGAACAGTGGAGCAACGTCGCCAGTCGGTTGTAAGCTGAACTGCTCTTTTATCTCTTTCCATAATGAGTGGCAGTTTCCCTGGATGAATGACACTCTGAAAAACTTCTTCCAACATCACACGCATCATTTGTAATGCAGCAGTTTGTTCTGTGCTCCAAGCTGAGGGTTCTGGGTCACATAAGTTTTCTTATGAATATCAGTGTGTCAATTTGTCAAAAGGCAGGGGAAGTTTTGTACGCATGCGGTCCCAAAGGTGCTTTTTCAAGAGACAACTGGATTTTCTAGTTTTTCTTTGGAGATGTTTCACTTCTCATCCAAGAAGCTTCTTCAGCTCTGACTAGATGGTGGGGAAATGGAAGGATTATACTCTTTGTAGACAACGGATTATTTGTATTCTTTTAGAGAGTTGTTGAGGCTACAGTTTATCTGTGTTGTCAGGGTCACCTGAGTGGTGCAAATGGGAGTGGAGTCTCCTTGGAACTGTTGAAAGGACTGTGTTGTAGACTGGAGATAGATGATATGGTATCTCTCCCCTTCTGTTCAGAGAGGGCTGTTCAATTTTAACATAGATGGCCTCTTTGACCCCTATTTCAAACCAGCGGTCATCTCTGTCCAAAATGTGGATTTTGCTGTCTTCAAAAGAGTGGCACAAACATAGAACAAATCCACCAGGACAAGATTCAGCAGTTCATCTGCATTTAAAAGACAAAGGCCACACAGTCCTTTCAACAGTTTCAAGAAGGCTCCACACCCTTTTGCACTACTCAGGTGACCCTGATGACACATAAGCCTCCATGTGGCCTCAACATCTTTGTTTGTCAAACTGGATTTCTTTGAGTGCCAGATCAGCATTGTAGTTCTCTGCAGGCTGGCTGAGGGGATGGAGAGACAGGTGGATGTTTCCTGCAGCACCCTGCCAGCCAAAATGGGGCACAGGGGCACTGGCTGTACTGAATGAAGCTGCCAGTAATTATAATTGGACAACATCTGGAGAGCCACAGGAAGGAAATGTATGGTCTGCGTTGTTTTCTGACACACCAGAATCCAGCTAATAGTGATAGTTCATGGGGGCTCATAAACTTAGATAATAAAGGGAAACTTGGATGAGGGAACTGAAAGCTTATCCATGTTTTACTCTGGATCACACACTTTCCCCCACCCTATTTGTATCTTCAGGCTAGAGAAAAAGAAGAGAGATTTCTGAGGAGACAGCTTAACAGAGAAAAACTTGAAGAAAAGAGGAAACAGAAGGCTACAGAAAGAACAAAATCTCTGAAAATCAGCCATCAAGGTACTGAGTTTTACTTTATGCCAATCTTTTTGCACTGCTTTACTACTGGATGTATTTTTGGCAAACCGGTGGAAGACTCCTTTATTCTGAAACCATGGAAATATGAGATACAACAGTTTGAGATGTTCTGGTATTATTTTAGGTAAAAGCATTCAAAACGCGGAAGACCTTTCAGGAAGAAGCTGTGATCTAAAAACTGGTGGTTCCAGCATGAAGGATGTGCTTAAAGAACAAAGATTTTTGGAAAAGAAAGTAGCACTAAGCAGGAAAAGAAAAAGAGAGTCGAGGTATGCCTTCATTTACTTTTACGTTAAAGTGGAATTACATTCATGTTGGCATATTACAAAATTGTCTTGTGGTTTTCAGGTAGTAATCACTGAAGACGTGCTTTCTTGTGTGATTTTTTAAAAATCACTAAATTAGTTAGAGGTAGTTCTTGACCTACAACTGTTTTAGTGACCATTTAAAATTACAATGGCACTGAAAAAATGATGCATCACCATTTTTCACACTTACAACCATTGCAGCATTTCCATGGTCATGGATCAAAATTCAGCTGACTGATGGCAACTGACTCATATTTATGATAGTTGCAGTGTCCCGGGGTCATATGATCACCATCTGCAACCTTGATCAGCAAAATCAATAGGGGAAGCCAGATTCAATTAACAACCGTGTTGCTAACTCAGCTGCAGTGATTCACTTAACAACTGGAGCAAGAAAGGTTGCAAAATGAGTCAAAATTCACTTAACAAATGTCTGGCTTAGCAACAGAAATTTGAGCTCAATTATGGTTGTAAGTCAAGGACTAACTGTACTTTGTTGTAGGTCACAGACATAACATGCATATAAAAAAAAATTAAATATAATGAAATAAAGAGTGTCAGGCTTGCCCCAGCTAGGCCCTAGGAAAGAAAGACCCTCAACTCCATTTGGTTGAATGATAGGTTCTATTATTAATGGTTGCAGCAAAAGCAGGCTAGAACTAAAGTTCCCGTGCAAAAGATTACAAATGTTCTCTTTCTCCCTAGTCCTCCCCACCCTTGACCGGTTCATCTTGGACCAGTGGTGTGCCAAATAGGTGTTTTGGGAACTGCTCAGATGTTTGGTGTCTGATGGTTCAATTTGCATTCCTTTCTCAGGCTCCATGGGCTTGAAGACTGGAAAAAGCTGGTTCTTACACTTCTGGTTTCTGTCAAACCTGTCACCCCCTCTTTTAGTCATTTCTACCCTCTACATGCCAATTGCCTAGCTCCTCTTCCCCCCCTTTTAACAATTGATGGCAAGATGACAGCAAGGCACCAAGCTGAAGATGGCAGACCTGACATTCTGTCCCTCTTTTCAAACACATTAGTCCTGCAAAGAAAACAAGCAGCAGGGGAAAGAGAGCGACAAATACAAGATTAATTGATGTGCAATGAGGCTTGTCCAGGTATTGTTCATGGAATTTCTTAAGTCATTTGGAAACTCTAAGGTAGGGGTGTCAAGCCTGCGGGCAGGATGCATCACGCACTGGCCATCCCCACCCCCAGTTTAGCAAAGGGGAAAAATGTGATACATTACGTAATGACGCCGTGTCATCGCGGGTTTGACGCTCCTGCTCTAAGGTGTTGTTCTGTTTCGGAAGGTGGAAACTCTTTTCATGCCATTAAGTATTGGGTTTTCACCTAGTGTGTGTGTGAATTCAAAATGTCTTTGATGTTCTTCATGAGGGGTAATGGGTAAACATTTTCCACACAAATACCATTAAGGCCACGGTAGTCTATCTATAAATGTAGGGGATCATCTTTTCTCTGAAAGGGTTTTGGAGTGGCCACCGGGGGTCTGATTGGTTGTATGAAGCCATGCTTTAAGTTCTTATCTGTGAATTGATTGGAGTTCTTCAAGCTCCTTGTGGCCATCGAATACAGCTTGGGCTTGGGAAGCTAGCCCCCCCAGTAGGATTTCTATGGCACAGTCTATGAGGTGATGAGCGGTAGCACATCCAAGCCCTTTTCCCTAAACACGTCTTGTAGATCCCAGTACTCCTTGGGTATCCAGGGGTTCCCCTTAGGGCAGGGGTGGGCAAACTACGGCCCGCGGGCCACATCTGGCCCGCCCCTGAAAAAAAATCGCTGGGCGTGGCGTATTGCCCTGCGCCGCGTGGCCCCCAAAGCTGCAAAACAGTGCGGAGCGCTCTCGGGGTAGGAAAGAAAAGAAGAACTTTGCAAAGGCCTCGGCTGGGAGTTCGAAATCACCTTCGAGTGCGACCTCTCCGAAGGTGAGTCCCCGCCGATCCCCCCTTTTTTTCCGGGGCTTCCAGGCTTAAACTTTGCAAAGGCAAAGTTTGCAGGCGGGAGCGTCTTCCGGCCGAGGAGTGGGAAGGGTTCCGCCCGGCGGGCGGGCGGGCTGCTTGGAGCCACCTAAAGCTAGGCCGCTGCTGGTGGAGCCTTGCCCTGCCTTGGTGCCCCGTTTCCCGGCTCGGCGGTCCTGCTCGGGCAGCACTTTAAAAGCCTGCTCCCAGCACCCGAGCAACTTCCCAGCAACTTGCGGCTTCCTTTTTCCTTGCGGGCGCTCGGGCCTGGCCCCGAGCCGTGCGGCGGAGGGGAAACCCGGAGCACCGCCAGGTCGCCTCCTCCAAGCAGCCCGCCCGCCCGCCGGATGGAACCCTTCCCGCTCCTCGGCGGGAAGACGCTCCCGCCTGCAAACTTTGCCTGTGCAAAGTTCAAGCCTGGAAGCCCTGGAAACCCGAGCAACTTCCCAGCAACTTTCGGCTTCCTTTTAACTCGCGGGCGCTTGTGCCTGGCCCCGAGCCGCGCGGTGGAGGGGAAGCCTGGCGGACGGGCGGGCTGCTTGGAGGAGGCGACCCGGCAGTGCTCCGGCAGCAGCAACAGGCAGTTCCGCCCGGGCTCCGCTCAGGTGTCTGGCTGGGGCTGTCAGGAGTTGCTACCGCCGGCGCAGCTCCGCGCGGCTCCAGTCCCGCGTTGCCTTGGGAAGGAAAAGGCAAAACCAGGAGCCGCTGAGCCTGAGCCTTCGGTGCCGCTGCTGCCGTTGCAAAGCACCACCGCGGCTCTTCCTTTTTGCCCTTCCCTTCCCGAGGCAACGCGGGACTGGAGCCGCGCCGGCGGTAGCAACTCCTGACTCAGGGGGCCTCCGAGGGGAGGGGAAGGAGGAGAAGAAGGGGGGGAAAGGGTGGGGGGGCTATTCCCAAAAAATCTTGTGCTGACCCAGCCCATCTGTCAAATTTTAAAAGTCAATGCGGCCCCGAGCCAAAAAGTTTGCCCACCCCTGCCTTAGGGCCTTCTCACATGGCTGCCTCCATCTCTTTCTTTGTTTTCTCTCCCCAGTGGTGCCCGCAGCCTCCACCTGAGTTCATCCCTGGGTGCTTTTTACCAAATCTTTAATAGCCTCCGCCTCCAGTTCACATTAGAGTTCAGTAGCCACGGTAGACCCAGGAATAGGGGCCTCTCCATGTCTGGTGCCACAATGAAGCTTAGGTGGATGTTTCTATGTGGGCCCTATCCTCATCTTTATGGCTTTAGTGACAAACATTGCACACACCTACACACCCTGCTACCAACCCATCCAACTGGCAAAATGGCATGGGCACTTTTAAGTTCTTGAAGCTGTAGGCCCAGCTTCTTAACTAATGTGGAGTTGACCAAGCATCTCATGCAACCAAGCTTCTCTTACACGCCAAGAAGTGCATTATCAGTTCTATGGGAATGGTCATCGGAATTACAGGGAGACTTACCAAGGGGTTGTCTGTTCCTGTCTCACTCCCCAGTGATCCTCAAGTCAGAGTGGCCAGAAGTCTCACACCATAGTTGGGGGATGGAGCGAACTCAATGATTTCCACTCCTTCCAGGGCCATTTCTCTGATTTTTGGGGCCAGCTTCACTGGTTTCTTGGCCGGCCCTGAAGCAGCTTTTTGAGCCGGGCCTACAGCTCAGCAATTGGCGGTCCAGCATCATGTCTTCACAATCCGCTTCCCCTGGAATCGCTTCCTCCTCTACTTCCACACATGGCTCCCACTGGCAGCTCACTCAGCTCCCATGTGTGAAAGTCATGTTGGAGGGCTTCTCATTCCATTCTTCTTTCTTCCTGACCTCCAATGACCATCGCGGTCTTGGCAGATATTCTACAAAGAGAATTTCTTTCTAGGGAACTACAGTATTTTCTATCCCAGAGCTTTATTCACCTCCCAGAATCCTCTAGTTTATCACTTTCTTTGGCATTCTAAATGCTTACCACCGAGCTGGAAGTTTAGTTCCTAAGAAAATGTGAAGGGAATGGTTGCCTAATTTGACATCACATAATCAAATAGAATTTGTTTTGGTTTTTTATTGTAAATAAATATATATATATATAAAAGTTATTGAAAGTTGTTAAATTTGTACGCTGCCCAGAGTTGTTGATAGAGTGATGGGCAGCATATAAATTTAATGAATACATGAATTAAAAACAGCTAGGAAATCCTAAGATAGTTTAGTTTAGTTTAGTTTAATTTAGTTTAGTTTATTGTCATTGCACCTCGTACAACGAAATCAAACACCATCTTCAGTGTACCTCATGACCGTGAAAATAAACACAAACACACATCCTTCACCCTTCACACATTGAACCGGAAACCCCTGGCACCACACCAACACTGCACTATACAGCAGAATTCAAAAGAGCTACTGCCCTGGGATAGAAGCTGTTTTTCAGCCTATTTGTCCTCATTTGTATTATTCTGTACCGTCTGCCTGATGGTAGTAGTTCAAAAAAAAAGGGGGGGGGTGCCCAGGATCTTTGAGAATGTTTTGAACTTTCTTAAGGCAGCGGGAGCTATAAAGCTCTTCCAAAGAGGGGAGGGGGCAACCCATAATCTTCTGGGCAATGACCTTAACCCTCTGGAGTGCTTTCCTATCTGCCCCTGTGCAATTGGCAAACTATACAGAGGTGCAGTATGTTAAAATGCTCTCTGGTGCAGCGGTAGAAGGTCACCAGCAGTTTTTCATTCAGTTGTTTTCTGAGAAATAGTCATCTTCTACCTCAAGCTAAGTTGTAAGTACTTGAAGAGGCCCCATGAATATGCTTTTCCAAATTTTTCTGAATTAAGTTAAATAAGCCTATACAGTAGTACTCATGAGTATTCATACATGTCCCAGGATAATGTTGCATGATCCAATCTAGGTCAGTCACTAGGACCAGAGGTTTTGTCTTCTGAGTTTTCAGACTCTGACTCTTCAGGGAACTTGTCTCTAGCCTCAACTTATGACCATTACTCATAATATGACCATAGTCCCCAACCATTCCTGTGATCACAATTTGGGCAGTTGGCAACTGACATGTATTTATGATGACTACAGCATCTTAGGATCATGTGATCACCATTTATGGCCTTCTTGGGATTTCCAACAAGCAAAGTTAATGGGACGTTCTCTCATGAGAGTTTTGTACATCTCTCATAATTTCATTCCTATTATGTTGTCATATTGGTAGTTTAATAAGTTTTTTTGAATATGTGCCATAAAGTTTGTTCAAATTTTGTAAAGTGGTTTCGTTGAAGATTATTACTATCAAAATTATGTTTCTAATGGTAGATTGGAGTCTTTTTCAAAAACCTTGCTCTCTCTATGTTTAAAACACAAAAGGTTTTTTTCCTCTCGACCTGCAGTACATTTTTATGATTTTCAACATGCTAGAAAAGTTTGAAACAGCCTTCAAAGCCCTTGTCAATTATCTCATTAGCAAACCCAAAACAAGAAAACACTCTCGGGAGAATTGAATTCCAAAAGGTACAACTTTATTGGATACATCATGGTGACACTGAAGAAGCGAAACCAGCTCTGGTTACCCATCCAAATGCTTGCCCTGTTAAACAATACTTTCTCCTCCCCACCCCTGGTTGATCATATTGTCCAATTATGAGGCATTCTTTTGTTATGAGAATGGTCCATCTCTTTCTCAAGCATCTGCAGTGGTGACCTTGCTGGCTCCATGCTCTCATGATCTCTGCATACATTCTCCACATTCCCTTTCCTTCCTCCCAATTCATCGGCAAGTTGAAAAGTATTAGGTTTGAAAGAAGCACAGTAGTTCAATCTTGACATCCCTCTTTTCTCTAAAAGTCCCAAGTGGCTCTCTTTGGACCTCAATGTTGCTTTGTAGTTCTATACATGCTGAGCCTGAGTGAAAGTTTATTCCTCTGGGAACAAAAGGGAATCAATTGTTTTCTTAGCAATATCTTTTGCAAGGAATGTTGTCTTCCCTTAATCTTCCTCTGGTAAGAACAAATACCATTACATTTCTTTTTTTAAAAAAAATTAAATTAAGGATGAACTGTATGTGTGTCCACCCAAAAGTGCTTTTCAAAAGGCAACTGGACTTTTTTTCCCCTTGAAAATGTTTTGCTTCTGATCCAAGAAGCTTCTTCAGTTCTGACTGAACGGGGAGAAGGTTCTTGGATGAGAAGTGGAACATTTTCAAAAGTTACCTTTTGAAAAGCACGTTTAGGGCAACCATGAGCAGGATGATTGAGAATCTCCCTAAACATGTCTAGCATCTGTCTGTCTCTGTCTGTCTGTCTGTCTATCTATCATCTATTTGTCAACCACATTTTGGAACTACCTATCTCCCTCATAGAGGGTCCCATGGTAGTGTACAATAAAATATTAAAATATAAAAACAATATATAAAAGTTAAGATTTTTTTTAAAAGGCAAGGATAAAACACTGTTAGAAATTAATTGAAAGGTGAAGGAATGATTTTCACAGGGACCTAAACCGCCCCATGGCTATGTGCTCCTCCCAAGCAAGCTGTAGAACCATATTTTCACTCCTTTCTGGAAAGTCAAGAGTGAGGTCTGCTTCACCTCCTAGGGAATAATGTTTTAGAGGGCATGTCAGAATTCTTTGAATGATGGGGTCTGCAACATGTCTTCCCTGTCTGATTGAGTAGTTAATAACTTACTATCTACATTAATGAAATAGACTACAGCTACCACAATACACACACACACACACACACACACACACACACATGCCTCTTGTTGATAATGGCAATTTACAGGTAGTCCACACTTACAGCTGCGATTGAGCCTAAAATTGTTGTTAAATGAGAAATTTGTTAAGTGAGTTTTATCACATTTTACAACTTTTCTTGCCACATTTATTAATATGCAGTTGTTAAATTATTGACATGGTTTTTAAGTGAATCTGGTTTCCCATTGACTTTGCTTGTCAGAAGGTCACAAAAGGGGATCATATGATCCTGGAACACTGCAACCGTCATAAATATGAGTCAGTTAGCAAGTATCCAAATTGTATTCACATGACTGGGGATGCTGCAATGGTCATAAGTGTGAGAAATAGTCATAAGTCACTCCTTTCAGTACCATTGTAACTTTGAACGGTCACTAAATGAACTGTTTTAAGTCAAGGACTATCTGTACTGCTATCCCTAAAATATTTATGATATTGGACCCAACAAACACCTTAATCCATTCCAACAAAAGCAATCTGGACCATTTTGCAAAAATGTTTTTAACAAATAGAATCTAACCTTGCATAGAAGGGTGGGACATTTTTTAGACACTCCTGATGAATCTACAAGTTCTGCAGGTTGTTTTGTTAACAGCAAAATGTGAAGAATTGTGTGGGGCAGACATATATGGTCTTGTGTTGAACTTGCATGACAGAGAACGCAGAAGCAGCTGATATTTATAGAATTATTTAGTCAGCTCTTAAGTTTCTCAAACACTGGCATGTATGGTTTCAAGGAAATTCTTTTTCTTCACTTACCCTGTCCATCTGGGAAATAAATGAAAAGTGAAGAAAAAAATCAGTTAATTTTGTTTTCTTTCTGCAGCTTTTTGAGTGCTAGCTATGTTCACTAGTGTACCACATTAGAGCATTGTCCTTGAGATTCTAGAACTATTACTTCCATTTCACTGTATGCTTCATCTCTCCATAGTGCTTCCAGTCTCATTTTTCCTGTGGATGTCTTTCAGTTATTTCCATGTTATCTTGAAGCATAATTATTTGGATGTAGCCTATCATTCCTCTCCTTCTGGTCCCAAAGGCAGCATCTAGCTCTTGGTTCAGATGGAAAAGAAACTATGGATGCTGTGAATTTGACCTAATTATGAACGCTGTGACCATTTTAACAAAAGGGACAAGTCAACAGATTGTCAGCTGGTTAATTTGCTTAAATATTTAATTAATTAAAAAGCAGGCTATATTTCTATCAAAATAGTTATTTCCAATAACTTTATCCTTATGCTTCTAGGCACGATGAAGAGGGCTGGAAGAAAAAATGTGAACAGCCTGACGAATATTTTGGAGAATTTGAAAAGATAAATGAAGTAAGTCTTAATTTTTTAAAAAGGTTTTAAAATTCTTGCTGGCTAAAATTGTTCATTTGATAAATGTCTTCTAAAGTGAATTCTGTTTCTGGTTATTAAAACACCCGTTTGTATGTGAGCACATGGCATTTGTGAGTCAGTGGGAGACCTGTGTTCTTAGATCAAGAGAATATAAAAGGGATTCATTTGAATCTACAGCCTTCTTCAGGGAGATGTGCAAGAAATCTTTAAATGAAATGAGCTCTGTTGACTCCACCCAGAAATGACATCCTGAACTAGCCACGAATTTCTTTGTTCTGCTTTGTTCTGGTTTGATTGCTAAGAGTTAGTCTCTATAGCCAGTTTGCTTCTGGATTGGAAAAGGAGTGACATGAAATTACCCTGAAGTTCCTTGGATGGTTGCCCTTGTGGGAAGAGGGGGGCAGTTTCAGTAGATTTCATCTCCCTGGTAAGTTCAGCGGAAGGAGGAGGGTTAACCCTGTCCTTCCAGCCTTTGTTTTCAAAGGACGCCTCTGCTTTTAATTGCTTTGAAAAGGTTTTTTTCTCCCTGTGTATGAATTGCTGACTGCTGGAAACATATGGAAAATAGACAAACAATAATAAGTTTTCTTAGATTACTGAGAAAATTATTTAACTGCATTGAATTTTCACCAAAAACACTACATATATATATTATCAACTTGAAAAGAACACTTTTATTGTATTTTACTGTATTTTTCTGCATAACTACTGTGTCTGCTTTCTATGCTAAAAGTTCAGAAATCCCTTTTTTCCCCTTCACCCTGAGAGCTTGCATATTAACATTACTTTCCTTGGTAGCTGTTTTGTTTTTGGAATTCTCCCTCTGACTTTGAAAAAAGAACTGTGTATCTTTTCCCTTTTTTCTGCTGCCAGCAATTGGCTATGAGGGGAATTGCATATGCAGGTAGTTTTCAACTTACAACAGTTCATTTAGTGACCGTTCAAAGTTACAGTGGCATTGAAAAAAGCGACTCATGACCATTTTTCACACTTACAACCATTGCAGCATCCCCATGATTACGTGATCAAAATTCAGATGCTTGGCAACTAGTTCGTATTTATGATGTTACAGTGTCCCTGGGTCATGTGATCGCCTTTTGTGGCCTTCTGACCAGCAAAGGGGAAGCCAGATTCATTTAACTATGCTTCTAATTCAATACCTGCAGTGAAAGTTTTGGACTCAGTTGTGGATGTAAGTTGATGACTACTTGTATTTACAAAATGCCTCCTAAGAGATAATTAAAGGAGCCAAGACAAGAGTCAGGAGAAATTCAATGCCAAGCTTCTTATGGAAGTATTTGAAAAAAATGTTTTGTACGTGATATGCTACAAGAGATAAATGAAAGATCTGATAAAAAGTTTGAATTATTACTAACAAGTTAAAACAAAGAAAAGAAGATGTTAAAAATATACGCATCAGATTGGATAGGACAGATACAGGGATGTATTTTTTTCATTCACATTTACTATTATTGGATTTGAAACAGAGGGAAATTATTTTGAGACCTAGAGATTTTCCAAGAACATCGAGAAGGGCACAAATTTAAGAGATGTAATTGTAACAGAAATTTCCAAATGGTTTAATGATGTTAGACATCTCTAAAGAAATCGATAATATTTACAGAATAAACTCAGCATATGCAATCAGAATTGCCAAAGATGTCATGATCCAGTTTCTAAGAAAATCTATTAAAGAGCAAGTAATTCAGAAGCATTATCATCAGAGATTTAACAACTTTGGGAAAAAAAACAAATATTTAGAGAAATCCCGATTATAATATTAAAGAAATGCAAAGAATATTCCTTCCTGACAGATCTCTTAAAGCAAAATAGTGTTCCCTTCCGTTGGCATAAACTGGAACAAGTTATCTTTACCTTTAGAAGTCAATGTTTTAGACTAAACTCAATCTCTAAAGCACAAGACTTTTTGGAAAGAGGTGGATTGGAATTACATATTTTTCAAAAGACAAAGAACTTCCTCTTAATAATTGCAAGATTCTGACTTGGAATGTCAATGGGGCAAATTCCTTACAAAAGAGAAAAAAGTTATTTCATTATTTGTTGATTGTTTCCGACTGAAAAGAGACTGAAATACATGAAACAACACTTTTTTAAACATGCAAATAAACCAGGGAGATGGTTGGCATATAAATTAAGAAAACAGATGATACAATAATAATCACTGGATACCAGTTTGTTTCTGAGTCCAATTCAAAATGTTAGACATCACCTATAAATTTGTACATGACATAGGACCAGGTTACCTACAAAACTGCCCAATCTCATCAGCCTGCCTCACTTGATCAGGTAGGGAAGATATGCCACAGACCCTGTTTTGATTGCCAGGGTTTAGAACAAGAACCTGCTCTGCTGCTGTCCCCACTTGGTAAAATACTGTGCCCCAGAAGTGAAGAAAGCTCCCAATCACTTGGCCTTCCATGAAAGGGTCAAAACATGGCTCTATGGCCTTGGTTTTTTTTTTTGGGGGGGGGTGTACAGAGCACTACACAATTGTGGGGTGGCTAGTCCCTTGAGAGCCCGCCCATCTAATAATTTTTTAACTAATTTCTTATTTTAATTTTTCTACATTGTTTACTTTTCAGTTATATTACATTGTATACTTCCCAGAACCCCTCTTTGAGGGAGATGGGTGGTTTAGAAATATGAAATATAAATAAATTACCATTTTGAATAGATACATCATTAATTATTCTTCCAATTAAAATGAAGAATTGCAGTTATAAAAGGAACACAAATTGGAGTCAGATTTAATTCAACCATATGTTACATGAGGTTGACAGTAGCAGTTTCTCTGTTTTCCTAAGGACTGCTGTATCTCCCTTATGCACTAACCCTGATCCAGGACTACTTGGGAGAAGTTCCCTCTTTCTAAGAATGGCATAAGCAATTGTATTGGGATGCAGGAACAATTGTGTTGGGGGAAATTGTTTCTAACAATAGCAAAATTCCACTAAGCAGAGCACTGGATGCAATTCATTTTATAATTAATTATAAATTATAAATGAAGTTATCAGTATTTGAACTAAAGATGACTTAACAACTTATCCCTTTTTTGTCTTGCAGGGTATTGAAAAGTTGTCTTCAAAAGAAATGAAAGTCAGTCAAGGCAAAAATGGAAATAAAGTTGTTAGAAAAATTGCAGAATTGGGACTTCCACCAGAGGAAAATAAAAGTGAAATCAAAATTGAAAAGGAACACAAGAGAAGAACATCTGCCTCTTTCCAATTGGAGATTATCCAGCCAGATGTTGAAGGAAAATCTCAGTTTGAGAGGGCAGAGACCAGTCCAGAAGAACCTCAAAAGCAAAGGAATGTACTTAAAAATGAGAAACACATTAAAAAGGATGAGTCAGAAACACCAGGTGTTAAGAATGTACTGAAGAAAGAGGCCAGACCATCAAAAGAGAAAAATGAAAAAGAAAGAAGTCTTTCTGAAGACAAATCATTAATGAAGTATAAATGTAAAGGAGATAATATTCAAAAAACAAATGAAAATGTTGAAAATGTACCATCTGAGAAGAACATGAGAAATGAAGAAACTGTTGTGAAAAATAATCAGCAAGCAAAAGTTTTGCCTGATGATAAAACTGAAAAGAAAAACAAGCATAGAAGTGAAAGAAAGGCTTCCATGAACAGCAAAGAGATGAAAAACATTTCAGAAAAAAGTGAGATTATACGTAAAGAGAACAGAAAAGAGAGGCAGCTTTCCACAGAGAAATTGAAAGCAGAATACAAATCCAGAAAGTTTCTGAATGATTCTCGGCCACCAAAAGAGTCACAGAGTGTCTCAAAGATTCATGTTTCTTCCATAACATCAAAACGTAATGAAGAAGAGAAGCATGATGCAGAATCATCCAATTTGGATCATATTTTGCGGCAAGGTGATAATCTACACAAAGTCCGGCGAAGATCAAAGAGTAGCTTAGAAGAAAGGATCGTATTAAAACCTATGTCCAAGAGTTATAACAAATCAGCCAAAGTACCTGAAAGTGAATTACAAGAAAGTTTATCTAAGCAGGAATCTGTGCAGAAATTGGACAAAGATAAACATTCAGAAGAGTGTGATCCAGATAAACAATCTAAGTTCAAACAGGAAATGAAATTTTTTGAAGAAAATTCCACTGAGTTGGAAATTGAAAGTGAAGCACATTCACTTAGTAGCTTCCAAAAAGATTCTAATCATAAAGTTAAGGGGCAGTTGGGAGAAAAAATGAGAGAGAGAAGTAAAAGTGAGAAATATTTGAGTACTTCCAGGTTGGAAAGGAGATTGTCAGCAGGTAATCACAAAAGCAAAAATTTTAAGAGTAATAACAAGGATATGAAAAAGAAAGAAGATGAGGGCAAATCAGAAGACAAAAGCATTAAAGAAATAGAAAATAATGCAAAGATGCCAGAAAATCTGCACACAGAGAAGAAGCCTATTAAAAGATTAAGTAATGATCATCGAAAGGTGAATACATTAATCCAAGAAATAGATACGAGAGAGGAAAAAATACCAGTGGTCACAAGTCCTTTCATTCCTTTTCAAAAGACTGCTGGGCACTTACTGTATTCTGATCAAACCCAGGAGCCAATGGAGGAATGTTGCAATGTTATACATGATCAACAAAGCCAAATTGAGGAAGAAAGCAGTAATAACTTACAGGGAAAAGCTGGACTGAAAAATATTGTCAAAGACCAAATACATCATGATTTAAGCTCTGAATTCAGTAAAACATTGTATTCAAATTTCAGTAACTTTGAAGAAAAAGTGGAAGTTTTTTCTACTAAGGAAATAAATGTATCAAGTGATAATTTTAAGCAAATTCCAAAGAATTTAAGTTGTTTTGAAAAAGAACATCATGTAAATGCTGCTTATGAAGAAACTGATCACGTTTTACCAGATGCTGCTCATGAAAATGAAAAGTTAAAGTTTCATGGAATGACTGAGGATGGTCATAGTCCAAAGAACCTTACAAGTAGAGGTCATCGAAGTTGGAAAAGTAGTTCTTCAATAAAGAGTTTAACAAGGGAATGTGCACACCAGAAATCTATAGATGCAGATCTTCCAGAAATCACAGAACCTTCAAATAATGGATCTAAAGAGGGATCTTTGAAAAGCTCTTGTGTGAAATATACCATTTCAGATAGTCAAACCCTTCCTGTTAAAATGGAATTTTATGATAACATTTTACTCAATGAAAACATGAAAGATGATACTGCCAATATAAGAATTAAAAATTCAGAAGACACAATACATTTACCTTCTAAACTAATACCTAGAACAAGAATAAGTGCTGTAGCAGGCATTCAGGAAGTTACTAGACAAAGAAGAACTGGAAGTGCATCAGCTAGTATTTTAGAGAGTGATAATCTCATAGGTTCAGCATCTACAAATAGAAGTGCAAACAACTTGGAGAAAATAGAAAAGGATCATTTCAGTGAGGATATTGCAGAATACAAACTGAAAACAGACAAAGGTCAGAGTACCAGTAATTTAGTAGAATTATCTTCAGGTTCAGTGCCCAAGAATGCTCCAGAAAAAGAAATCAAAGTATCTACTCTTATCAAAGGAGGAGATGATATGAAAGAAATTGCTGAGGATAATAATGAAAGCAGTATAGTAGGCAGCAGTGTAGAAGGTAGCCATTGCATTGTTAGTCACAGTAGCATGGAAACTGATGCAAATGTTATAGGAACTAGCACAGAAAGACCTACTGGGAACCCTGCCATAGCTGGTCATATTAGAGAAATCCAAGGAGATGAAGACATATCAAATTTGCTGACCGAAGGTGAAGCCATCATTACTTGCTCAGAAGAACAAAGAAACACTTATTTAAGTTGTGCAAGTATAGAAGCAGATGAAGGTTTCACTTTGGGCCCTTGGATCGAAAGTAAAGAAAATACCCATTCTGTAACAGAAAAAGCAATTGGTGAGTGGACTGTCACAACAGCTGAAGAAAGTGTTGCTATTATGGAAGAGCTTGCAGTATGTGAGAGTTCTTCAACCAGTACAAAGGAAAAAGAAAGTGGTGAATGCACTGTGAATTACGTAGAAGAAAGTACAAAGAAGGCAGTAAATGGAAGAAGAGAGGAACTTGATCAAAGTGTGAATAGCTGTGTAACAGAAGAGAAAGATGATGCTGTAACCAGTGCAAGCTCTGAACAAAAATGTGTGGCTTCCAACTATGTTGATATAAACAAATTTGATGGTGATACTACATGCACATTTGAAATAGAAAGTGATGGTGCTGTAACCAGTGCAGGTACTGAAGCTCAGAATCAGTCTATGATTGGTGAAAATCCAGATACATTTCAGAGTAACCCAGTTCGATCTGAACAATCTAAAGCAGCTGAGGGCACTGTGACTTGTACAGCTATAGACACTGAGCACATTGGTTCTGTTATCTGTTCAGTGACTGGTACAGATTCACAAGAGAATGCTGTAAGGGGGCTATGCCCTGAAATGGTAAATAACATAGCAACAATATCCCATGCTGACAAAAGTGAAGACATTGTAAATGGTGAGAGTACTGTCACCAGCACAGGAATAATAGCAGAAGATGATCCTGCTTGTACTCTTTTGGAGGAAAACCAGAAAGAGTTTGTAGGAGTCTCAAACCCAAAAGAAAAATATCAACTTGCCACAGACAGCACAGAAGTTAGAACTGAAACAAATGCTGTTGAAGTCAGTCAAGGTTCATATATTGATGATGAAGGTTGTGTAACCAGCACAGGTGAAAAAGAAGAGGATGAAGAAAGTGAAAATTGTGTAACTAGTACAGGAAGAGGCAATGAAGAAGCAGAACATGTGTTGGCTTGTACAGGAACAGAAGAAAGTGGAATGTTGCTTATTAACATGGGAACTACAGAACATGAAAGTTCTGCCTGTCTATCTACAGATCATCTTGGAACAGGGTTAGATGAATATTCTTTAAATGCAAGTAAAAGTTCTATTGATGTTATGGCATGCTTATCAAAAGAAATGAAGGTTGGTAGTGTTCACAATAATATAAAGGGGACAGTTGCAAGTAGCACCACTAGCATTGGCATAAGTAATGAAAATATGGCATTTGTCTCCCCAAAAAAGGATTCTCTATTTACCGAGACATGCAAGAGTAACAATGAACTCTTAAATAAACAAAGTATAAATCAGCCATTGGTTAGTGAAGAGAAGAATGAGAACACTGAATCTTCCTTGGACAACAGGAAATGTGGAGATCTGATTAAGATGGTATCTAAGGAAATAAATATAGTTTCAGCATCTGCTAGTGAAAATGATAAACGTAAAGGTGAGATCATCTCTACAAGTGGGGCCAAATTGTGCTCTATTTCAGCACATTCTGCCAAGCTGAATGAGCCAACATTACCACTTGTTGCAAGAACAGTTGAAAACTTAGAGAAGGTTAAAGGTCTGCTAATTGAAGATTTCAGTTTTCCTGCACCGAGTACAACTGTCAAATATATGAATCAAGATGGAGATGTTATGAAATCTAATAAAGTTTCTACTAGTATTTTAGAAGAATTTGACACTCCAAAGCCAATCGTAACTGTGGAAGATACTGACACTGTACTTGCTACTAATAGAATTATAGAGAAAACCAACAGCATGGAGATAAATGCCATTCATATGCCCAGTGTATTCACTGGAGGAAGTGATGAAATCCAGGTGGTTGGTGATAAAGAGGGAAGGGATGAATGTGCGACAATTTCCACAAGTATAATTGAAGATACAGAAACTCCTGTTTCTGAGAAAGGCAATGAAGACATTGCTCAGTGCTTTGATCTAAGACTGGAGCAAACTACTGATACTGCCACAATCTCAACAAGTTCAGTAGAACATTTTGAATTTTCTGCTGAGAAACAAATTAATCAGATCTCTGTAACAGAAGGAAAATTGAATTTTGCTCAGCTTTCAACTGAGATATGTAACAGAGTTATACATAGTGTAGTTGTGCCAATAGAAATAAAACACAGAAATGAAAATACAGTAGAAGTAGAAAAGTACAAGACTGTTCAAGAAGCTACAAGCCAAGAATCTGAATTGGATGAAAGTAACATGCATTTACCTACAAAAGTAGGAATATTTCATGGCCTTGAGTTCAGTATTACTAATAGCAAATCTGATCAGATGCTTACTGCATCAACTACAAAGGATCTTGCAAAGAATCCTGACAAATCAGGGGCTGCTGCCTCAGAAGAAACTCCATGTACATTGGCAAGCACAGAAGTGGAAGAGAAAATCAGTAAGTGCCCTGAAGAATTAGATCCCACTATGTCGACAGGTTTAAAAAACAGTAAGAATTTACTTGAGTTGCCTAATGATGGGCAAGGGATCCAGGGTAGGGAAGAAAGTAGAGAACCTTCAGTTATATCCAGGACTGATAGCAATTGTGAAAGCATAGAAATTTCCACAAATACAATGGAACTTGTTAACGTAGTTGAACTTCCCTGTGCAGAAATAAGTTTTGATTCCTCTGTCTGTCATGGCCTATCTGCTGGAAATAGATCCAAAGAAGATGTGAAATATATTGAGGTTCTGTCAAAACCTGCTGGTTTACTAGGAGAAAAAAAGTGGAATGAGAAGATAGACTTTATTATTCACCAACCATTAAAAGCTGAAGTTACTGGAAAAAAGGATGTCTATAACTCCAGTTCATTACCTTTTGAATTAGGAGAAATTTCTGAGAATGCTCAATATAGCAAGGCTGATGTAAATGCCAAAGTACCAGATGCTCTTGGAAATACAGAAAACAATAATGGTAAGAATTAAATAGAATAATTATCTGTAGCTCAGGGTTGAACTGTTGTGTCCTTGGTGTTCTCTGAGCTTGGTTGCTTGCTTGCAAATGTTTCATTGTCCAATTAGTTAATACTATCACTGCAAATTAGTTTGGAGTTTTCTCCCTGGTTATATTCAGTACATGCCCAGTATATAATGTTCCTTGGATTAGAGTATTGTTTTCTGCTTGATCGTTTGCTTGATCGTTTGCTCCTGCTTATCTGGCTGTTAGAAAGGATGTGTTTCAGTCTTTTGAATGGTGTGTGAGTATGGTTTATTTCTATGTGTCTCATCTTCCAGAAATTCCCTAGTGGTTTAGCTTGGTCTAAGATGCTCATGGTTTTCCATTTGAAACTATTATTGATTTTGTCCATGTGCTGTGAATTTTCAACATGTCTTCTGATTGCAAGTTTGTGTTCATTTATGTGCTCTGCCTATCTTCTACCTGTCTGTCCTACATAGTTGTAAGTCCTTAAACTGCATGTTGTAGATGATTCCTGTTTTTTTCTTCTTCTATGGTAGCACTTATTCTTGTTGGGTCTGTACTGGGTTGAGTTATTTTCTGAGTAGCATAATAGGTTTAATCACTGTAATGGGTTGATAACTTCTTGATCCTTGATAAAAAGGGTAACACTGCTATACATTTCAGAACAGCCAAAAGACTACTACAACCACACAGCGCTATTGTAGCATTATTGCAGCATATAAACCAACTAAATACTTCCGAAACATCTTTTTTTTTTACTGAGGATTAGTGCTTGCAGCAAAAGTGAATCTAGAACTGAGTATTCCCACGCAAACATTAAAAGTTTTCTCTTTCCATGGACCTCCCCCCTTGACCAGTGTCCAATAGCATCCCAGTGTGATGTTTTGGGAACCACCTTTTTTAAGTATATATTTTGATTATTATTTACATATATAAATAACGATCGCAATGTGACCATCCTGGCGTTTCTTCTGCCATACATACTGAAGTAAAAAACAGATAACATACATGCTATTTATACAGTATTAGTTTTGTATAGTTATTTTTGACCAATGTATTCATTTTGGTATATATATATCACATTCTGGGTCATCTTATCCTCATTATTTTATGTTCCGATTCCTACCTCTCAATTCCAACCATTTGTAAAATCTATTCCATATATCATCGTATTCTGTCTCCCTTTTATTTTTTAGTTCTAGTTTTAATCTACCCAATTCTGTGCAAACCAATATTTTCTTTATTATCTCCCTTTCTGAAGGTATATTTTCATTTTTCCATTGCTGGGTGTATACCATTCTCGCTGCTGTCAGAATATGTATTATTAAATATATAGCCCCTTTACTATAGCCCTCGGTTGTAATTCCTGTTGTACTATCCCAGAAATAGTTCTGGCTTAAATTCCAAGTGTTGTCCCACCATTTTTTCAAACCACATCTGAATCCATTGCTAAAATTCCCTTGCTCTATTACACGTCCACCACATGTGGTAATATGTACCTGGTAGTTGCTTGCATTTCCAACATATTGGGTAATATATTTCTAAACATTTTAGCCAATCTTGCTAGAGGTAGTGCCACCTGTAAAACATTTTATACAAATTCTCTTTATAAGATGTGGCCAATGTTAGTTTCCTGTTCCTTTCCCAAAGTTTTTGTCACCTATCCAATTCAATGTTGTATCCAAAATGTTTAACCCATGCCACTATTGTCTCCTTCACTTGTTCTTCCTCCATTTTGTAATCTAATAAGTATTGGTTACTTTTATCAGTTTGTCATCTATGCCCACTAATACTTTATGTAGTATCGTTAGTTCTCTATTCTCCCCACATTTTCATATCCTGCACATATCGTGACTGTATTTGTAGGTATGACCACCATTCCACCCCTTGTTCTTTTAATTCCAACCTGATTTTCAGTTCACACTTTTCATTTAGTATATTCATTTAGTAAGAGACAATTTCTCCCATATTTATTAGATTTGGGTGCACCTTTTGATTGTGGCTATTCTGTCCATTAAGGAAAGTCGCAAATTCTTCCAAATCTGACTTTATTTGATTTGTTAGTTTAGTATAGTTGTCCTCTTTAATTGTTATACACCTTGCAGTTAGATATATTCCTAAGTACTGTGTTTCTCAAAAAAGGCTGGGCCTTATTTTCTTTTGACCCCCGAAAGACAGCTAGGCCATCTTTTCGGGGGTGACTTAATTTCTACCCCCACCCCCCACACCCTCACCTAGAGCGCCCCATGGGCAGCCACACCTCGCCACCAGCCGCTCCTAATGGCCAATCATGGCGGAGTTTTAAAAGGTGGGGAGTGGTTACTTCTTCCATTTAAGGGAATAAATGAACCTTCCAATCCAAACATGAGAAAGGGAATCATCCTACAGATACTTAGCACCCCCTTAAATGTTTAAACTCCCCACCTTCATCTCTTTGAAGGGCAGAAATAGGATGGAAATCCACCTCCTGGATTTCTCCTGGCAAATCCTAACGACACTCTTCCCTCTCTCCCACCTCCCTCCTTCTTTCCTTGCCAAGCTTCCCAGAGGATTCACCCCAAAGAAGGGGAGTGTATTTAAGGGGGTGAATCCTCCTTTGGGGTGAATCCTTGGGAGAATCTTCTGGGAAGCTTGGTGCTAAGAGGGAGGCTGTGGCTGCAGGAAGGATGGAAAGGCCCAGCAGGAGGCAGCAGACTTCTGATGGGGAAGGCTGGGCAAAGCTGGCCAGCGCTCCGCAGGCAGGCTGCCTGTGTGCCCACTTTGCATTTTACCCCAGAAGCGGGATTGAACTTTTGCTTTTCTCCAGAAGGGTGAAGCGACCTGGCGGGCAGAAGGGTGTGACTTTTCGCCCAGCTCTTTCTGCCTTTCCATTTTCTTTTTTCTGCATGGACAAAACAGATGGCCCAAGGCCAATCCCTCCCCCTCCCTTTCCCAAGCAGGTACATCAAAGTGACAGGAAAACCAGAAACGAGATTTTAAAGGAGCATCCAGGGCCCCCTCCCTACCAGAATGGCAGTGTCCCGATAGGAATCAAAGGGACCTGACATTCTGCCCCCCTGGGAGAAGGAGAATTCCTCCTGGAAAGGGAAATAAAATGGAGATAATTAGTGAGGTTTATCCTGGTACAACATGAAGCGTTTTAGCAGTTTAGGGACCCAGATATGTTTTTTGTGTACTCAGTCATTTTCAGAGGATGGGAGATGTTTCCAGGCAATTTAAATATTGGTTTGCCCCATGGTGTTTGCTGGAATCCAGAATCTCTTTAATTTCAAAGAGTTACTCTCCTTCCACCATAATGGCTTGTGGTGGCTTAGATCTGAGGAGTGAGGTTATTTCTGGTTTTAAAAGGCTATAGTGAAATACTGGATGTTCTTGCCTTAAGGTTTTTGGAAATTGGAGTTCTACAGTAACTAGGTTTATGATGCATCAGATACGGAATGGTCCTATAAACTTTGGTTCTAGTTTTTTAGAAGGTAGTAAGAACTTTGTGGATAAGTATACCTTATCTCCAACCTTAAATGTTTTGACTCCACCCATTTTTACCTTCCTGTGTTTTGTAAGCTAGTCGTGCCTCTTCTAAAACTTTCTCACAACTGGACATGTGTTTTGCTGTATCCATTCCTTAAGGGGGTGGGTATGGTAGGTTCTTCCACTGGTAATTCTGGCATGGGGTTAAACTCTTGGCTAGTGGCTACCCTAAAGGGGGTGAACCCTGTGCTAGAATGGACTGCATTGTAAGCCACCTCTCCAAAGGGCAGTAGGGCCAATCTGTTGTGGTCCGCCAACAGCCTGCAGAGCTGGCAGCAGAGTCGGACAGTGGGGTGGAACATGGGCCAGTCCTGGAGTCTGGGGAAGGCTCAGACAAGGGATCTGCGTCTGACACAGAGATGGGACCAGGGCCATCTGAGAGTTATGTGCTGACTCTGGAGCCTCCAGAATCTGACATCAGCAAGGCAGAGGAACAAGGGGAGCCTGTTCCCAGTGCGTGCTTGCACAGAGCTGCCAAAAGGCAAGAACAGTTAAGACAAAAGGGGAAACTTGGGAGTAAGGCTTGGAGATGATTGGCCCCTCCCATAAGACATAAAGGAGGAGCAAAGGGGCATGAGCCTTTGCAGGAGGTAACTTTGTTCGTTCTGATCAGTTTAAACTCTGAAGCTCTGTGTTGACTTTGTGCTCCATTTGGCCTTGTACAGCTAATTGGCAATTTAGCCGTTGGCAGCATTTCAAGGTAGATAAAGGTGGGTGCTTATCAGCCTTATCCCGAAAGACTGGTATATTTCTGTTGGACTATTCATAAACTGTTTGGGACTCATTACGGGCTGTGAATGTATATAAGTCACCGCCGTTGAAATAAAAAAAAGTTTTTTGGGAACAGCGTGTAATTGTTACTGTCTCAGGAAGTCTTGGTCAGAACACAATCATCCTGGTGTTAATTTATGAAGCATTTTAGGTACTGTGCTAGAACTGTTTGTCTCTTCTGTCCTCCCATTAATTTGAGGATGGTTACTCGAACTCAAGTCCTGGTTGGTTCCAAGGAAGGCTAGGGATGCCCTCCAAAACTTGCAAGTGAATTGGACCCCCCAATCAGAAATGATTCTTTGTGAGGGCCCATGCAAGCAGCATATATGGTGCAGGAACATTTTTGCTAGGGCTTTTGCCATGGGGCTCTTCAGGCATGTCATAAAGTGGACCTATTCGGAGAACAGGTCCATTACTGCTCAAATGACAGTGTTTCCTGAGCTTTCAGGCAGTTCTACAATAAAGTCCATGAAGATCTCTCACCAGGGTGCTGAAGATTAGGCTACCAGTTGCAGGAGGCCAGGCACTTTGCCTTGGCGCCTTTTCGGTGCCACGCAGACAGGGCAACTTGTCACATAGCTCTCGATGCCTTTCTTAAGGGACTGCCACCAGAATTGTCTCTCTATTAGATGTAAGGTTTTTATGAAACTAAAGTGACTGGCCATCTTAGAGTCATGGCAGGATTGCATGAGCTTGAGCTTTCCGGGACATACAGCTTCCCTTCCATACATGGCAGGCTCTCTTTTAGTATGTTCTTGTGGTGAGAGCCTGCTTAAATGCTTCGATAGTGGCATTGTCCGTCATGAAGTCTCCCTTTGTTTGCGCTCAGGTCACTACTCTGGCAGCTAGTTGTGAGGCCAGAAGCAGTGGTTTGACTATCTCTGGCTTATTGCTATTGTACTGTGGCAGTCTGGATAGAGCATTGCTCAGAAGGTTTCTCCCCGTGGGAGGTATCACAGGGCAAAGTTGAAACGTTGGAAATATTGGGCCCAGCATACTTGTTTGGGGGATAATTTCTGTAGGGTTTTTAGGGCCTCCAGGTTCTTGTGGTCTGTCCATACCTGGAAAGGGATTTTTCCCCCCTTCCAGGAAATGGTGCCAAGTAAGGAGGGCCTAACGGATAACATAAGCTCCTTCTCCCAAACCACCCACCTCTGCTCCATGTCCGTTAATTTTTTTGATGTGTAAGCACAGGGTTGAAATTGCCCCTACTCGTTTTCCTGGAGCAGGATGGCACCAACTGCCATATCATTGGCATCTGCTTGAATTACTAAAGGCTTTTCCAGGGCCGGATGTTTTAACACCGGTTTGGTGGAAAAGAGTTTTTTAGTTTATTGAATGCTGCCTGGTATTCTATTGTCCACTTTAAGGATTGATCCGGCTTGAGCTTATCTCCCCTTTTGTCTTTAGCAGATTGCTGATGGGGAGAGCAATCAGGGCAAATGCCGGAATAAACTGCCTTTAGAAGTTGGCGAAACCAAGAAAGCTCTGATGCTTCTTCGTGCATGGTGGAGCCCAATCAAACACTGCTTGCACTTTTTCTGGGTGCATCTCCACCCCCTCATGTGAGATGCAATAGCCCAGATAGTCTTTTTTGGGTGGAACTCGCACTTTGATAGTTTAGCATAAAGCTTTGTGGCGCGGAGCTTGTCTAGGACCTCTCGGACAAGTCTTATAGTTTGGTTTCTGTGTAGATTAATATGTCATCAAGGTAAACCAAAAACCCCTTGTGCAGCACCTCAATCAGGTGCATGAAAACTGTGGGGCCCTCTTGTACCACAAAGGGCAGCACATTGAACTGGAAGCATTCCAGAGGGCAATTGAATGCAGTCTTCCACTCGTCCCCCTTCCTAATTCTGACTCGGTAATATGGCTCGCACAGATCTAGTTTGGAAAAAATCTTCCCCTTGGAAAGGTGAGCCAGCATGTCCTTCATGAGGGGAGGGGGTATACATCTTCCATGCACACTGCATTCAGACCCCTATAATCAGTGCACAATCAAAGAGACCCATCTTTCTTTTCTCAGAACAGTACTGGGGCTGCCACTTTGGATCTAGCTGGTTGGATGAAACCCCGGGCTATGTTTTTGTCTATGAAGGCATGTAGCTCCTCCAGCTTCCTAGGGGTCATGGAATACAATTTTGACTTTGGTAGTTTAGTGCCAGGGAGGATTTCTTTTTTCTTTTTTTAATAAAAGTTTTATTTTAGGTTTTCACAAAACATACAAATACAAATAAAATATCTTTTTTTGAGAACAGCATGGCCCCGGGTTATCACTTCTCCATACAGACATAAACTCAATACATATTTATCTTATACATTCTAATCCATCTCTTATAACTATTTTCACAATTTTTTTCAATAGCTTTTCCCTTTCTTTACTTCCTATAGACTTATTTTAAATTATCTCATTCCTTTCTTAATTTAATTATATATCTTTTTCTAATTTTAAAAATCTTTCTAATCAATGTTTTTATGCTTTCGTCTGTCCTGTTTACAATTTCATATTATCTTTTCTCATAAAACAAATTTTTCCCTGTAATTACTAGACTGGAGTGTAACACCTTTATATCTTTTTTCAAATCTTATTTAAAAATTTAAGTTACATCTTTACAGTTATAACATTCATTTTCTAACCTCTATTTTATAACACATACCTATTTTCAATCGAAATTCTGCTTGGTACATTCCCTTAAAATACACACTAAATTCTTAGAAGAAAAAAGTATATATGTATATATATCTGTGTCTATATGTATAACAATAGTAAATGGAATCATTATTCAAGTACAGCTCTGCCATTAATATTAATAACAATGTTTTACATTTCTATTTCTTTTAACAAACATTACCTAGTAATATCAGTTGTCTTTCACTTTAATCATCTATATTTCATATTTTAGTTATTACTGTCTTTAAATAAAAAACCAAACAATAGTTATTAACAGTAGTCAATAAAGTTATTATTCAAGTTCATCTTATCAACTGATAAAAATCTTCCATGTTTCTTTTCAGTTATTTTTAAACGTTCTTTTTAAATCATTGAGAGCCTTATTCTCTTTACAAACAAATATTCCACTACACATCAATAGAAACTTTTTCTATCACTTTAATCATCTAACATATTATATAACAATGCTATCCCACGCACCCTTGCAGAATCTTAAGCATTCTCTGTGTCTTTTAAATAGGTTTATACCTTTAATTCTTGTACGTTTTTCCTGTACCTCTATATCTTGTTTCTTTGTAGCTTCTTTTCCTTTCCCTCTTCTCTCTCTTCTTCTCGCTCGCCTTTTTATTCCCTTTTCTATCTGATTCTCCCTTCTGTGATCCTCCCTTCTGTTTCTTCCTAATATTATGGTTACTTTTCAAATTACTCTTTTTTTTTGGTTGTTGCTTCAGTGCTTAAGTTTTTAACTCCCTTTCCCCCCTTTCCCTTGTTTACCCCGCTTAAAATTGCTTGGTCATTAAAGATGGCTTCTTTGTTGTCCCACCGTTCTTGTTCTGCCAGCATTTCTTCTTGTTTTTCATAGTTCAAGATCTCCATTTCTAAAAATTGAAATACAAAGCCAAAACATCCTCTTCCATCTTGTGCTTCTTCTTTTTGTTCTTTAAGTCTCATATTACCTGTCTCTGCCATAATATATGTTTCATAATCTAATGGGAAATTATAGAAGTTGTAGTGACTTTTCTCCATTATAAGTTTAGGTTTCCTATTAAATTTTAAATATTTGTTAAATATAATAAATATTAACATTATTAAATTTAAGCAAGCTATGATATTCTAATTGAAAATAGTAAAACAGAATAACATTCTATCACAAATGTGAAGGTGAATATACAGGACAATGTTCCAGGATCTAATCTAGGTTGATCACTGGGACCAGAGGTTTAGTCTTCCCAGCTTTGGGACTCATGCTAGAACCTATCCTCAGGGAACTTCTCTGTAGCAGAGTGTGTCTTCCATGTGTGGTATTTCTATGGTGCCTGTTTTGTGTGGCTTTTTAGCCACACCCAGATTGGATCCTGTGGAATATATTCTAATTTTAGATTGTTATCTCTGGAACCAAAACTCCTAATCCTGTTTCCAAATAAAATTTCAATTATTATTTTTTTTTACTAAAATTGGCTTTATTCAGCCATCTGTATAGGGTAAAATTGCCAGATAACCATAAGATTATAACCTATTGTAATCATTGTATTATAATTGCTTAAATTGTTTTCATTAGACAGTAAAGTGGTGCTTCCATTAGAGACTGACAATCTGGAACCAAAGATGGAGACGGCAACTGACAAGGTACAGTGGTGTTTTGAAATGTTTAGTTGTTTAAAGTTGTTTGTACTTAATTTAGAAGAAAACAAATATTTGAAATTAAGACTATTCTTAAACATTGATTAAATTGGACTGTAACGTGATAAAACATTCCATGAGCAGATTCTTACTGGGCGAGTCTGCCCATGCCTATATGCCCCTTATTTGAAATACAGACTCCATATCTATTTGCTTGCCAACATATGGAAAGTAGCACAAAACAGTTGCAATCCAGCAACAGCTTTATAGAACATAGATTCAGAAGCTTGTAAATAAATAAAAATCTTAAACAACCTATGACACATTGAGCTATCATTTTAGAGATATTTCCTTACCTGAACAGAAATTGAATGACCAAGAGCGAAAAAGCAATGGGAGTGGGAATAATTTCATACCAGCTAAACCACGGCTGACTGATCTACTCAGCCTCCAGAGAACTATGATTGGTCCAGTCTAGATGATCTCCAGTGGCCAAAGGAAAGACTGGTCTGCCTGGCCTCCAGAAGACTAGGGCAGAACCAGTCTACTGAACCTTTGGGCAGTGGCATGACGGCACTTAAGTGACACAAATTTGGCAAATTTTAATCCTATCGGTTTCTTTGGTCCCCAATTTTTTACTCATTCCATAAATTAGCTCATTTGAGATATCTCAGTTCACAATGTGTTGTCTTTTGGTGCATTGTTTTGCCCAGTTAAAGGTTACAGAAAACGTTTAGTAGTACACCATATAGATGTATATGCTGCATGTATGTAGCTGCACTTTGTTTGAAGTATTCCAGCTTCTATTCTTATATTTTTGCGGGTATTTATATATATGGTATTTAGGTTTCTTTGGGTATCTTCCCGTGTAAGATTGAGAGTATCTTGGCGATGTTTCGATGAGGTCCCACTCGCCATCTTGAGGCTGGTACTTTCGGCTTCTAAAGCACAAAGCCGAAAGCACCAGCCTGAAGATGGCGAGTGGGACCTCGTCAAAATGTCACCAAGATACTCTCAATCTTACACGGGAAAAGACCCGAACATGCCAAAACACACATGGTGGTGGTGGGATTGGGCATTGAGGTAGCGGTTGGTGTGTGTTTTCTTCTGATATATGGTGTGTTTTCTTCTGGTATATGTGGTGACCAGAAGAAAACACACACCAACCTATACCTCAACACCCAATCCCACCATCACCCAGCACAGATAAACTACGTGGCCAAAACACTAATCGCTAGAACCAAACGCCTGGCAGACAAGACACGCATAAAGACTGAACCATGCACCCTGACTAAAGTACTGACGGCTAATGGCTTCCACAAAAGCAAAATCACCGGCTTGATCCACAAAAATACACTGAGACATAATGGAGACCTAGAAGATGAACAGACCTATGGAACAGCTGTCCTGCCCTACATAAGAGGTACTACAGACAAAATCAGTAAGATACTACATAGGCATCACATCAAGACTGCCTTCAAAACAGACAGAAAAGTTGCAGCCATCCTAAGAAACCCCAAAGATAAAATTGACCTGGAAAACCAAGGCATATATGAAGTCCCCTGTGCATCATGCCCTGCCACATACATTGGACAGACCAATAGAAGAATAAGTACCCGCCTGGATGAACACAAAATGCAGTAAAAAAGCTGGAACACACTTCCTCACTAGTCCAACACATGGAAGCCACAGGTCATAGCATCAACTTCAATGGCACCAAAACCCTAGCCACTATAGAAAACCCTAGCCACAGAATCATCAGAGAAGCCATAGAGATTGAAAAAAGACCAGAAAGCATGAATAGAAGAGATGATTCCACCAGACTGTCAATTATTTGGAAGCCTGCACTCACAAACAAAAAAATCTCCACACCACAAGCCAGGCAAACACCTGGGCACAAACAGATCCCCCCGATACCTCCAGCTCAAACACACCCCAACCAGGCACCCAGGTGAAACCTAGCTTCCTAGCAAATGATAGCCGTCCATTTACTCGGAGCCAAGCTGCACTAAAAGCCTCCAATACAGGAACACAATGTTGCCAGCCAATCAAGACAAAAAAAAAGGCACAAAACAGACAGAAGATATTAGAAACACCAATCAAGCAGAACACAGCAAACTCCAAGACCAATAAACACAGACCAAGACTCCCAACCAATCAGGATGAAGAAAAAA